TCGTGGTAGTTGGAGTATAAAAAACACTAATTTCAAGAAGTGTTCAGTTTTGTTGGTGATAAGTAAGGGTTCCAATTTTATTTATAGTTGATGTAGTTCACAAGTAATTCTTTTAACCAGTACCCACCGTACGAAAAAAAGGTGATACAAGCAGTTACCTGGTAATACATGCTACTTAGTTAAATAAGTATCCATCATTATTTGTGAATTTCGCTCACCGCTCCAAAACATTTATGTGTAGATCTCTCACCCAGTACTGGGAGTACAACATGTCAAATTATCTAGTAGCAGTGTATTTGCAGATGCCGAGTAAACATACTACCAACTATGTTTACCACAAAATACAGATCAAATTATTCGATTGTACCACTTTAGACTATGCATACTGGTATGCACATATACAGTTCAAATTATTTGGGAAACGTTATGATATTTGTACTTTTTACCGTTCACCAAACAGTGATGCGGATACATTTTTAAAGTTTTTTGAAGAAAAATGCGAAGAAATGTTTAATTTCAGAAACAATATAATACTTTTAGGTGATTTTAATTTAAATTATTATGGTAAAAGCATGAAAACAAGATAATTGAAAGAAACCATAAATAACTATGGGTTTAAGCAAAAAATTGAAGAGAGTACCAGAATAACATCATTATCAGAGACTTTGTTAGATCTTGTTATTGTAAATTTCGAATGTGCAGGGATTAAAGCTGTACATACACCTAAAGTTAGTGATCACAGTTACAATGCTGAACTTGGTACGGCATTTTTCTGATACAAAAATTGAGAAAGTCGTAAATACTATTAAGTACGAAAAACCTGAACGAGAACTCGCTGGCTGCTATTGGAATTTTGGTGAGAATATGGAAAAAATATATAACAACATAATAGGAAATACAGAAACTTGTTTAGATCTTGCATCTGATGAAAAAGTGATTTGCTCGACAAAAAATACACCCTGGTATAACAAGAATATTAAGGCAGCTCAAAATTTGAGAGATAAACAATACAATATAAAACTCTTAGGAATAAATGTGTGTATGTAATTAGAGAAGAAAAACGGAAATTCTACGATAAACAAATCGATAAAAAGTGCGACAGTGCAAAGATGTGGAAGACTTTAAAAAGATTGATCAATTGGAAGCCGCATGATTGTGTAAATCAAGTTCAATTCGAAAACGGTACCGCAACAAATTCTTTGGTCATTGCAAACAAACTAAATGAATATTTTGTGGAAAGTATTGTTGATATTGTGGGTACTGCCAATGCTGCACCTGACTATATGAAAATCAGTTTCCAGGGGGAAATGTTGCATACACTTTCAAAATTTCATAGCGTATCATTGAATTATCTAAGAAAAAAAGTAAAATATTTAAAATCAAATAACTGTACCGAAATCACTACTAAAAGCGTGCTGAAAAACTGTTTCGAAATCTTGGGATATCCTGTATTAAATTGGATCAATTGTTCACTGAGAAGCAGTTCTTTTCCTGAAAATTTGAAATGCTCTACAATAACACCAATTCTAAAAGATGCACCGATATGAGACCAGTAAATGTGTTACCAGACATTGAAAAATTATTAGAGCCCATAGTACATGACCAATTAATGCAGTTTATAGAAGAAAACAAAATTTTAGTGGAGGCGCAAGCAGGCTTTCGAAAAAAATATTCCACAGAAACGGCTTTCCAGTTGGTAACTGAGAATTGGAGAAGAGCCATAGTCTCAGAAGAAGTTGTCATAGCAGTATTTTTGGATTTGAAGAGGGATTCGAAACGATTGATAGAGATATTTTGTTAGATAAATTGAAGGCATATGGTATAACAGGAAGTGTTTTAGATTGGTTTAGAAATTATTTATCTAAAATAATGCAAGTTGCAAAAGTTAATGACACTATTTCATCAAAAATTGAAAATACGTTGGGTGTTCCACAGGGCAGTATCCTGGGGCCACTTCTTTCTATTTTATAAATGATTTACCTGAAATATTCAAAAAAAGCAAAATTCAGATTTTCGACGTACAAGTACTATCCGCAAGATATATTCACTGAGCTTCAGAAACATACACATAAACATATTTCAAGTACCTCTTCCAGCTGGTATCAAAGACATGTAGAATCAAATACATTTTTTTCCTGGTAACTACTGATTTACAGTTAAAAATAATGTAGTACCAGCATTTACCAAGTAAAAATAGTACTTGCTTTTGAAAATCATCTACACCATGTATCCTCTAACCTTTATACATAGTATCTACCGTACTACAGTAAAAAACATTTCAGCAGCAACAGTTACCAGTTTCGAAAAATAATACTTGGTTTTGAAAACCGTTCATCTTATTGTCTGCCCAGAAGCTGTATATTGTTACCTCTTCATTTTCAATATTTTCAGCTTATAGATATTGTATCTGAGGAACCACCGTACTGTAATTAGAATTAATACAGATACAACGAGTACCATGTAAAACAAATTATATATTTAAGCGTAACTTTCTCCTTACGTGCTTCCGAGTACAGTGTTCATTCAAGTCTTTAAGCATGTTTGTCTCTTGGTCCCCACTGAGACTTATAACAAGTAGGTACCAGCAATTATCAAGGGACAATACACTACTGGTAGGTATGTCTAGACCAATAGAACAAAAATGCTGTTGCATTCGTTGTAATAATAAGTACTTTTTGGAGGACAAAATCAGAGAAAAGCGGTTTCGTTTGATTGAAAGGGAATAGTCAGTAGTAAGCAGCATAGTTATCTAACCACCGTAAGAATGTTCAAATCTCGCTCTCTTTATCTATCAGCTCAAAAACATAGACCACACCATATGAGTACACGGATAGGGTCACTGCCACCACCCGTTCTTCAATTTTTAATAACACTCCCTCGTCTCCCCGAGATGAATACCTTCCTGAACATGAATGCTGTGACCCCCTTCCCCTGACACAAATTCTGGATCCGCCGTTGGTCAGAAAATGTGCGGGTGTCAGTACTGATAGATCATTAGGATCGTTACTAATAGGGAAAAGTGATCTTGAATTTAGAATGGATTCTATTTGAGCTATAATCGTATTTAGCGGTTCATAGGTCAAAAGCTCCATACTAATTACACGACATAAATGTATTTTAACTAATTTGACACCAGCCTCTGCGAGACCAGAAAAGTGGGGAGCTGAAAAGGGACTGAAGTGCAATTCAAAATGTTCTGCTTCCGCTGCGTTTTCGAATAATTCTCATTATTTTATGCGCTGGTTTGAAGTTAAAGCCACAATCTGAATATACCTTTGAGCAACGTCCTCTCCTGGCTACAAGCCGTCAACATGATACCTAGATGGTTCCTGGTGTGAAAATAGTACATTCCGCGTTTGCTCGCTATGAGCGCTGTGAGTGTCATCAAAGCGTCCATCTATGGATGACTGACTCAACGACACTACATGCTCAATAAGATGAGTGACATTTGCTACCCATGAAATATATCTGTTAACTGTGCTAAACCGGTTATTTGTGTTGACCTTTCTGAAGAGCGGTTATGCTCATAGTTATACATTACGATTTTCCCCGTTTTCTGCCTTTTCGAAAACTTTGAGAAGTACTGTGAAAAATCAGCACCGCACTCGCGTCGGGTGTTATTAGGAATGACGCATTACATACAAAACATTTTCGCACTGCCTCACATATAGACGCTGATTTTTTTTCTACTTGACATCGTTTAATAAATTTCTATGAAATTTGAATGACTGCAAATACAAATTAATGTGAAATGAAATAACTTGTTTACCTTTCATAAATATTCCTGTATGTACAATCTTTTCTCACCAGTGATTTTCTTTCCTTGTCGCTCTCTTTTTCGAAATTCAGCAAATTTGCATATGTAATTTCTAGATTGAATAAGAAAAAGCGGATGCGCAACTAATTTTTTACTTTGCATACATCTCAAGTAAGTGTATTTGTGTCAAGAAACTAATGGAATTACCATAAATACAATTTATTAGTACACATATCCTCACTATGGACTTGTGCACTGCCGTTTCCTTCCAGCTACAGTATACAACTTATAGCTTAGACCTCCAATAATGCCATCTATGAAGCAGATGTAACATCGCATCAGAGCCAATCATTGATAGCTGAAGCATCATGACGTTGAGGCAACGCGTACTGCGACCGAACGAGTAAGCATCAAGTGCACAACAGCTAGGGCTACGTTGACATCTTTTAGAAAAACCTACATAATGTCACAAAAAACTATATAATGTCAAAAAAAATGTCACTCTTCAAGATACGTAATACCCCTGCTGGTTAATATGAACCAGGTTTCGCGCGATAACATTTTATAGATTTAGGAAGTACTGAACGAATAGTTCCCTTGGAAGATGAGATCCAAAAATATTGAACTAAAAGTCGTTGTACTGTTTGAGCTCCTACGTGCATGTCAACCTGGTGATAATGTTCAATAATTAAAGTCATTAAACGAGACTTTCGTGGTAATAGCGCTTTTGAGTGTACCTTGAGTTGGAAACGACTTCCAACCAGTAACATATTATCACTATCGAGAAAAATTTCCAGTTAGCGGAAAGTCTAAGGTATCTGAGTGTTGGATTTAATGTTGCCGTTGTTAATAATGCCGTAAAAATATAAATGTTGCACATGACTAACCAATATCATTATGGTTCTTTTAAGCTCGACAAAATTAATAATAAGTGCCTGAAAATCGACAGGCGGAGGCCAGGTCGCTGATATGGAGAGCGAAATGTAGCAAACAATTCTCTTATCTTACCAGATGGATAAAATATTGTCTTCATCGATGACGCTCATAAAAGTACAATCACGTGCTTCAGATGTTTGTTCAGGATGTTCATCGTTTGAAAAGAATTCGGATTTGGGCCAGTCTGATTCTGAACTTGGAAGGTATAACGGGCCTGACAACGATGTATTGTTCTTTAGAATTTCAGAAATGGCGCTTTGAGGCGTAAGCACTTCGATTTCCTTTTGAACTGATATAATATCCTAAACTAGGAGGAACTCCTTCTTGAATGCTTACAACGCGATCGCTGACAAAAGTTTTTAATCTGCGCGGAGCTTATTTTATCCAAGTGCGATAGATGAACCAAACAAAAATTTATGAGCACGAAACATTCAACTCGTAAATGAAACTGCGGCGGCTAATTCCATTCGTGGAAGTGATATTAGTTAAAGTGGTGCCTGTACTAAATAGATGCAATAACTACAATTTTCAGTAATTCTGATGCAAGTGACAGCAGCATATCCCGATAAGGAAGCATCAGAAAGCCCGTTTAGCTGACACAGTGAATTTTTAGATGGTATGCAACTAGATTTTTTATTTCTGATAATGGCGGTAGCTCACCTGTAAAACGTGACCAGCGATCACATAAGTCCTGAGGTGGATTGTCATCCCAGTCGAGCTCTACCATCGATAATTGTTGCATTAAACATTTTATAAGAAATGCGACTGTAATTGATAATTCAAAAGGATCATAAATTCTAGCTATTTCTGATAGAGTATCGCGTTTTGTACGGTTTGTGTTTGTCGGAGCCATCGCTTTGTGATAGCCAAAATATACCTAATATCGTTATGATTTCCTTTTCAAATCAAGATTTAAAGTACCTTATTTTTTTTATTTGAAATACTATTTTATTTACTTCGTTTTTTGTCTCTTATAAAAACAGGCCATTTCGCATTTTTTTCGAGAAAAATTTTTTTACGGAGCTGGTTTCTGAAAAATGTTCTTATTACATCAAGTGTTAAAATTTAATAGGCAATAACAAGCAATGTTTGAATTTATTATTGGTTGTTAATTTGAATTAACGTTAGATTATATTTGCTTGATTTTTTCGTGAATATTGAATATCCTTTTGACGAACATACTGATATGTTGTTAGTACTTGGTTTCAAACAATATTGTATAAATTTATAATTTTTGAGGGTGTTCTGGACCAAATTTTTTGCACTATAAATGAGTCAAAGTTAAGATGTTTATTCTTCTTTAGCGGCTTAATAGTAAAAGTAATTCCACCGTATGTCGTGAATTCAGGCATGTTATTCAAACCTTCAATAATAATAGACACATCATATCGTGCTAATCTTAAGTGCTTAACACAGCTCAAATATAATTATGTATTTTGTGAACCAGAATCAGTCAAAATTCGTAATGTTTGATAGTTCTTTTCTAAGTCAAGAATGTCAACTAAATCGATTGAAAGGAAAAATGTTGATTCTTAGATAAAGGTCCACAAAAATTATCCAAAGAAGTAGAGGTATGGGCGATTACATTACATTTTGTATTAAATTCATATAATATATATAATAAAAGGATATTTTTCATCTGCGGATGATGTTTAAATTTAACTTTTTTTGTCTGATACATCAGAAGCGGTAGACAGTTGAACAGTCTCTAAAGCGTTACATTGAGCGAGTGGCATTCAATTGAGATTCAAGAGTAGTTAAAATAGATTCATCTAAATGCCTAGAAGGTATGTAGAAAGGAAGAGTTCCTCTCGGAAAAGCCCATGTTTTTCAAATCAGCAATTTTTTCATGAAATGTATCCAGAAGGGATCGCAATGACGCTTGGCTAGTTCTGAATCTACATTATGCTCCTCTTTGCCAGCTGGGTCAAAACTGAATCATGATGGGACTCAAACTGTACTTGCATATCGGGCAGTTTTTTGAAACGCATCTTCAATTGCACATTTATTGTGGTCAACTTGAACTTGTTCGTCAAATGAAAAAAGTTGATGGACCTTCTCAATGCATTTCTGACGCAAGGCCTCAGCTTGTTTTAGTTGTTTGTTTGATGTAGTAGCAATATATAGCAATTAAAGGCTTGTATATAAATGTTGTTAAAGGAAGTGAATACAATTTGCGTACGTCACTGAACACGTGTCTTCAAATAACTGAAAGTCCTCTATGATAGAAAATCCATTTGGTACAATAAAGATGATGTGAACTATGAGAAATTTGGAAATATGCATAATGATTAATATTAAGCAAAAGAAGTATTGGAGAATATTTTTGTAATTTGGCTCTGGAGGATCACTAATGTCGCGGGCTGTATAGCTTTATATATGAAACATATTAATTGGACTCAACACTCACCTTTGTCGAGTGCACTCGCGTAAAAGGCTCCTAAACTTCCGTGTGTAGATTATATGCGGTAAGCGGTCAGATTTTTCGGATTGTGTCTGGTGGCCACCATAAAACGTGCTAGCAGTTTTTCTTCTCGCTCTGCGCATTAGCAGAAATCTTCATTCTTCACCAGTGGCGTAGGATTGTGAAAACTCAAATATTAGATGCGGGAATTTTGAAATGGTTGCGGATACATTCGTTAATGAACGATTAATGAACACCCTTATTCCATCAAATAAGATGGCGCTCAACCACTGGCTTGACATTTTCATCTGCTACATCTACGCTTAAACATAGTATTCATGCATTAATTCCATTACCATGAATTTAAGCTTGCTAACCCATCCCGTTCAAAAAATAAATAGTATGGAGGGGCCTTTTTGAATATCACTGTACTGGGTAAAAGGCAGTAATGTATCAAGTGTAAAAGTCTCAGAAAAAAGAGTTCAAAATTCTGATTTTTTTTTGAAGCAAACAAAATACATGGCTTTCCATCATTCCATCGTTTTCATAAATCAATGTGTAATTACATGTGATTTATTGCTTATACTCTTCAAAAACAAATTTACTGACTTTCTTCATAATCTATTTATATCGTTTTTTCCAAATTAAAGACACAACAATTCAGAAAATAGCGCAACAGTAAATCTTTCCAACATTTAATACTCGTAATTCAATTCAATAATTTAATAATTACATTCAGCAAAAATAATTATATAAACTAACATCTTTTCTTATACGTTAAGTTAAATTATAGAAACAAACATCTTTTCTTATACGTTAAGTTAAACGAAGAATGTTTTTCAAAATAATTTTTTCGGAGCAAAAGTAATTTATTTACATTTTATTATTATTTATAACGATAAACACTATTACGTAAAAAAAACTAAAAACCTATTTATGTTGAATAACGTAATCAGTGATATATTTTTTAATTGTAATCATAGAAAAAGAATTAGCGACAACATTTAAACTACCTACTACCTAAGTAAGGCACTGTATAAGTTAGTGCTCTTTTACACTCTTTCAAATACGTATGCTCTGAACTTGAGATTTTCATTTTTCGATGTCTTCATTATTTACTTTGAGACGCCCTGTGTAATTATTATACATTTAAAAAATGAACTATAAGGAAGTATTTCACCACTAACCATAAAAGAAAGGCTCACACCTCAGCAAATTGCATTCATAGAACCTCGGACAAGATGATTTAAATTTTTTTTGTGAATGTATTCTAATTACATAAGCAGCTCTACAGTGCTATGATTGCAGACGTTATTCATAGAATTTTCCCTGTAAAAATGTGAAAAAGCTGTATAACATAAGTTGCTCTTTGTTCTAAAAGCTTTTTATGGATACCGTTTCGTTTCAATTTGTGGAAAAGTGGTACGTGAATATTGCCAGCTAATCGCTAGCATGTGCTTCCAGTCCGTCGATTTGCTTTTACCTACTCCATCAGAAAATGGACTGCAACTCTCGCTCGACTAATACCTTTATCTGCGCCTTTCACATGCAATTTTTAACGAGATGCTTCCACCCACGGTTGGTGAATATAATCTGATGCCACGCCACTCTACCTTTTTGTAACGTTTTATGCTTCCATCCATGGGAAAACTCAGGCAGAAACAAACTATACTTTGAAAATGACATACCAAAATGCTTTTGTTGTGCAGAAATAATTCAAAACTTGCTCTGCGCTGTGTAGTTTACTAGTTCACGCAACATAGGGTTGCTGTGCGAACGTAAATCGTGCCAGTGTTGCACGTAAAACACATCCAGAGAGCCAGCAGAAACTGCTTTCTCTATATTTATTCTGGATAGTTTATGATAGCTTCATAGTTACGGTTGAGCAGCTGCTATAATCGTATTCATATTTATAGATAGTGCGTTGGTAGATGTTGAAGGTCACCTGCTGTCATCCCTTCTGCTTTTTTTCATCCGATGCGGGTCAGTTCCATCGATATTATATACGTAACCCGTATGTACCAATGAATTATTTACCGCATTAGTTAATTATTTATACCACTATGGACGTATCATGTTGCATTATCGTTTAATGTTATTTCCTGTAAATTTCCTCAACTCTAATATCCAGTCATATTATATGCTCCATAGCGATGAAGATGTAAGAATTTTTAAGGTGGTGCAGAGTAAGGAACATGCCTACAAAACATCATTCCATTAGTTGTGATGACGTATTAACGTCTCAGAATATGTAGTCAGTCTGTGGGATTTATGTAGAATAAAAAAAATTATGAGAATAGTGAACAAAATTTCGTACGCGCCACTGAAAATGTATGTTTCTTGAATATATTTTTGATATTATTGCATAATTGATCGGATACCTAACACCTATGAGCAATACTCAACACCATCCTGTTCATAGAAAACAATTAACGTCAACAATAATGACATTATGTATGGAATTGTTGCTTATTGTAAAAAGCATGTTTTAGCTGGAAATGTACTCTTGTCTGACATGGAAATAAGCCTTTTTCAAGATAAAAGCCTGAAAGAGGAAGCACCTTGCAAGTTTATATGCCCGGAGCCTTTTTAAGTCGCTGTTTACGAATCTGATATTAGAATTGCTATATCTTTAAACTTTAAAGCATCAAAAGTATCGTACTGGATTCTGTTTCGTAATGGATAATACTGAAGCAAGAGTGTGTGTCCCAAAAACGGCTAGCTTACTGACGTCAGGCTTCGCAAAAATATCATCGTTAGGCCAGTACTATACAGGGTTTAAAAAATAGTAGTGCGGCATTAAGGCCAGCTTACCCCTGTCGATCTAAGTGACTTAATTGTTTTCTACCATTATTGTTAGGGGATGCGCGAATTTTATATTCCGCTGCCAAAATTTAGTCGAACAGTCTCGTTCAACCATAAAATAAGTTTTTGGAGTTAAATTACAGGAAGCTCTATCATTATCTTCTAATGTTTTGTATGAGTAGTAGAGATTTGCAACATATTCTAGACCATCCTTTCCACGGACACTACGGACATAAGTTTGACTGCTTGATATAACTGCTCCTTGCTTGTTAGAATATTGTATTGTGAAATGATCTACCAAAAGAAGATTTTCCCACTTTCCACATCATGAAACTCTAAATCAAATAAATTTTTTGATTGGAAGTGTTTCTTAATTTTCATATAAATTATTTTGTGTTGCAGGTAAAAATGGTTCCGGTGCATCAGAAACGAAGCACTGGCAAGACATGATAACGAAGCCAAGACAGACCATAGTACAATGGCATAGACTCAAACCCGAGTAGAAGCACCAACCCATCTATATCTACGATAAAAGTTTTAACAAAAATATACTTCCGATCACATATTATCTATATATTATATATATTTTTTACTCCGTTGTTTCCATTTCTTTCTGGATCTTAAACATAGACAATAATTTTAAGCTGTATCTTAACATTTCTTATCTAGATTTCTTTGAACTAATTTAGTACTACTTCTATTACCTGATCGCCTTATGCGCTAAACTGATAAACTTTCGTCTTTTTACATCACGAGGATTTGAGCTATTAATAACGGCAGCAGTTAGTATATGGTTTTTGATTGAAATACATGCACAAACAAAAAATTAATCAGATAATATTTTAAAACTGATTTCATTCTTATTCACAATATTTTGCAAACTGTACTTCAAATTTAGTCCAATAACATTCAAAAGCCCTAGAGTGTTAACTTTGCCAGCATTCTGCATAAAATTTAACGAATGGAAAATAAAAATTTGTCAGTTGCTCGGGTATTCGAAATTGTAAATACTGACCAAGTGTCGCACAAAATGCAGCATCATATCTAAGAGCTGTTGAGGAGAACTCGTATGTAAAAAAGAAGGTTTATTTGTCCATACTTTCGCATAACGAAAAAATGTAAGATCATGCATGAACATTGCACTTTTTGACATATTCCTCTTAATAATCAGCATCTCTTTATATAAGCTTCAAGATTATTGAGTCACAATACGAGAATGTTATTAGCCGGTGGAAGAAAATGAATATTTCACATCATAGCCTTGAGCTATGCTTAAAAATAGATGGTACTCAGAAAAATGACCCTTTGATCAGCTGAAATTATATTGGCATAGAACAACGGCTCTCCAAGAAGAAGCTATAAAGTCTATCGATGATTTACCTACTTCATATCATTCTAATACAAAGGAGACGGAAATCATCATGAAGTAGACTATACTAAAGTCACCACGGATACCATAATGATGATATGATCGTTCGTAAGCCATTTTTTGGTGGTCGCAAATACAGCCACGACGAATAATGCATTTTCCTTGCATAAGCTTTTAGGATGGTGAAGGAGCATACCAGTTTTCCTTTGAAACATACTATCTATTAGGCTGGCTCGCCCACCATATTTGATAGAACCACTAATTTCTGAAAATTTAAATTTAATGTTTCTAACTGCAAGGCCTTCTAGATAAAATTTCAGTCACATCAGATTTGGATTCACGTAAATTGACTTGATACTAGGCCATCAATATAAATACGTAAGATCGGTAATATTTACGACTATGCCAAAAGACTTAAGCAAATTTTCCATAAAACTAAGCAGTTCCAGTAAAAACCGATTAACTGCATTTATTCTGTGATGGGAGATGCCGCGAAACCATTAAACAACGTGCAAGTGAATTAGTTTTAAAAGATCCCACAATTCTTACTAAACGAAACTGTAATTTGGTAAAATAATACTTTGATTCATCTGAATGATTTTTGATCATCACTTGAATGTTTATGCTCTCATTATTTATTTTTCGACCTACAGAGAACCTACGTCATTTTGATTCTGTCTCCAGATAATGATAGTTTATGATTTTTATAAAAACTGTACAATTAGAGGTCTTGATCCATGGCTTAAATAGCTTGACAGATATAATAGAGTTCATGTTATAGAATTGTTCTATACGCAGCTACATATCTATATATCTCCTATTTCGTATCACATGTTGGTAATCTTCCTCGACCTGTCAGAAAGTATATGTCGAATGTCGCTACAAAACTGTTATTATCTATTTGAAACTTACTTTTAGGATGACGCTATTTTCGTTATATATTTGAATTTCCTTACAAAAAAATATACATATATTTTCTATGGAGAGGTATTTTTTTAATCTGTAAATCACATTAAATTCGGGTCAGATGAATTTATACCTGTATATTATAAAATACCTGAAAACCAGATAGCGCTTTCACAAAGCTAAAACTATATAGAAAAGAACTGCAAAAATATCTCTATAAGATGAGAATATTTTTTGTGATACCTTATAGTAACGTTGAAACATATTGTTATCGTAAATGTGAATATTAATATTAGAATAGCATAAGGTTAAAACGCGTGTTCTATGCTAGATGAGAATTGCTATAGTGACAGCAAATTTAAAACTGCTGCAGATCGATGACGCATGGGATTTTTGTTTATGGAAAATGGCTTTTGTCCAGAGATCATAAGTTTGAAGTAATAAGCGTTGCGACCATACCCATAGTAATATTAAATACTGGAAAGATTATCAAAATTGGAGATCTTGGACTTTTAGAGATCAATCAAGTACCAAGATGAACAAAGGTTGATGGAATTTTAAAAACATATTTATGATCACATATGTTTAAATACAAAAATTTCTTGAATTTAGTAAAAAAATTTGGTTTATTGTCAGTGCTAGAATAACTATACAAAGAGTATCGGAATCGGGTTCTTCATGCCTCACTGCAGAATAATGATATTATGATCGATGGTTTCAACTACTTGATATATCGTCAAATAAAAACTAAGTAGCTACCATAAGCCCTCGATTATACTTACATTATAATGCAATGGTTTGGTAGCAGTCTAACTTTGAAATTCTAAGTTTGACATGCGTGAACTGAGGATCGATGGACATTTTTGTTCTTATTCGCATCAAGATCAGCCTGAGAGAATTTACAAGTTTTTTGCACTACCTTTTGTCTTAGACAGACTCATCTTTGGGGAAGCATGCTTTAAGGATTTTTGGTTCTGGATGAGTTGAAAAGGAGGAAAAGATTGAACAGCAATTTAATATTGCATGTTGTTCTTACAACTCGTCTCATATAGAACACGTTTAAGCAGTTTAGGATGATTAATTTGTAGTACTTTACGTCTACAAGTGTAACGAAAAGACGCTTTATAATTGTCGATGTTGAAAATTTTTACAATAGCACGGATAAAAAGTTGTAGTTGTAAGAAAAATTGTAGGCTTGACAAGCTGGACTGTATATTGAAGATACATACGTATCGCTAGCAGTACAATGAAAGCTCGTTTGAGAAAAAACATACCTAGGAATGAGTTTGACAGACACTTTTTTTGAATATTCAATGGTTCCATCAAAAAGTTGTCTGCATTCCCCCATTCGTGATATCTAATTGATCAGTCCTTTTTACATATCTCTAGTAAGTTTCGTAAGAAAAATTCAAATTTTGGATACCTTACCAAAATATTACTACGAGGTTGAAGAAAATATCAGGGCTCATTTTTAACTAAACGATCTTTCAATTGAACTAGGGAGATACCTGTTTGCAAATTATGTGGAATTATAGATATTCCTAGAAATTTATGTCATTTCGCAAAAAATTTTGTGTGTTATTTTTTTGTATAAAAGGCATTAGAATCGATATACATTAATCAGTTTTGTCGTGTCAAGGAAACGTTTTCTACATAGTATTAACATTATTTGAGTGAAAATTTTATAGTACTTATAGCAGTAACCTTATACAATAAAGATGTTAGACCGGTGTGCAATAAAAAGAACTGCTTTTATTGTAACTAGATTTTACAATATGTGTTGGGGTGAGGTTACACTTGTGTTGCTACCGTTATATGTCCAGACCTCATGACGCATTATCTACTTCGATAAACCCATGTCAACGAAGGAATACAAACTAGTGTCACATACCCCAGTCTGCCACAAATCCTAGTTCTAGCGTCTTTCCTTATCAAATAATTTTGATATAACGTGCATTTAAATCAAAATAAACTTATCGAAGCATGTAAGAGCGTTATGACATCTGTTTCTATTAATACCTGTTAGATATGGAGTTAGTTTAGCAATTTGTTAGGTTCTAGAAAAGATTATACGTGATGGTCGTCCACTTTTGTATTTTTTCCATTAAACCGATTGATGTTATGATTGTGGCTTCAGTTTCAAAGTTTATAATTGATAGTGGTTCGTCAATTTGTTTTGACTTTTCAGTCTAGTTCTATATGGTCGAAGTAAAAAAGCTGCTGCGATGCTTTAGATATATAAAGAGAAAATCTACTAGAACTAATTGTTCAGTAGTATATTTGTTCATCGTTAAAAGACTCAAATAATGTTAGTCATTAAATACAGATTGAAAAGTTATGAATTACATATTACACTCATTTCAATACAAAAAGGAATCAGGACTTAGGTCAAAGCACATAACAGATTAATGAGATTTTTTAGCTAGAGTATTCTGATTTGTTATTTTTTTTGTTTGTTCAGAAAACGATTAGAAAATGTAGAAGGGTTACATAAACTCTTCTGTTAGATTTTAAGGACATAATATGTAATTCTGCATCTTGATCTGTAAGTTGTTAATAAGTACGAATCTTAGACTACAGTTTATACATTTACGTGGCCAATACCATGTTATTAATGAGAGTTGATGATTATCATTGTTGCTTATAATTCAATATGGCAGGTTTGCATCATACGGCGATGAGTTCTGCTATCAATACTTCTTTGTTGGCAAATACCTTAACGGCCCACTACACCTTATCATAGAATGATACTAAATTCGACACGTGACATGAACGTAATTTTGTTGGTAACGACAGGCTCTAAGCATGAGAAGAGACGTTCTGACGGCGACTGACTGAAGCTGAGCACTGTAATGTAATGCTCACATCGAGCTTTAGATTACAAAGTTCCAGCGAATGTTCACTTGGAATGCTCGGCTCAAAAGTAATTCACATTTTTCTATTGCAAGTCAGACCTAGAAGTAGCTAGTGCTACGTTCATATCAATGGGCTATTGCAACCTAATAAAAAACGGAGACCGTGGTGGCAGACAAATTCATTTAGAGGAAGACATTAATGAGTATCTTAAAAAATCAAGAGCTGTTGCCACGCATCATGTTTCTCGATTTGGTTATAATATTCTGCATGTTGCGGATCCCAGCTAATAAAATAAGAAGACTGTAGAGACTGTGCTCACAGATGAACTGTTCGCCACCTGTACTGACTTGTGATGTAACCATCGAGGGGATTCGTCCAAAAACCGAAAGTTAAGTGGCGCACGATTTGTAGACGTGATGTAATGTAACACAAAAATTCGCTAGTCAATCGCTAAAGCGAGCGCCGAACAGAGTCGCTCACGTCGAGCATATCCTACTCCACTTAACTGTCCTTTTTTGACGAATCCCTCTGATGGTTACATTACAAGTCAGTACAGGCGGCGACCAGTTCGTCTGTGAGCACTGTCCCTGCAGAATTTGAAGCGCTTTTTAGCCGAGCATTCCAAGTGAACATTCACTGGACTGAAATCACGAACTTTGTAATATAACGCTCGGCTTCAGTCAGTCATCTTGGTTCGAACGTGTTTGGGCGGCAGTGTCTCAAAGACAGTAAGTACATGAAAGTCAGAATGAATGGAACGATTCCTAGGATATCATATACGTTTCATACGCGTAAACTCATTGCATACTAGTCTAGTAAGGTAATTACCTATATGGTATGGCAAATAGAATGAGTGAACCATGACTGAAGGCAGTAAAACGACCGTTTGACGCAAACATTTTCTTAAGTGAAAGCCTGAATCTAAGGTAAATTGAAAATGTTGTGATATTATTTTGCTGGATGTCGTGCTTTAGTGTTATTTTGAATTTTGTAAGAGTAGCAAACATGCGATAAAAAAAATAGCTTATTTTAAAGTCTCGTTACCGACGCTACCAGTATACCTAGTTAAATATGGATGCGTGTATTTAAACAAACGAGATTATTCAAATTGAAAACTACAATTATGTATTGACTATGATGAAAGCTGAGAATACTAGGATTCTGGCAACTAGACCGCGGTATCATTTTAGAGAGAATATATTCTGTGGCGAAGGCTATCCTATTATCTCCCTGGTTTTTAAAACCCAGAAAATAATTTAAGGAAAGCCTTATCGAGAGATGGATATGATGGATCTAACTGAAAACTGGAAGCAAATATATTTGATCATGTAACATGAATTGTGTAGTTTCCTACTGTGATTCATCGAAATATTCTCCAAACTCACATTCCTCAAAATATTTCGTTGGATCTAACATAAGTTGATGTGATGAAAGATATAAGAGAATTTTCAATTCAGATTCTCTTAAAATTCCAGAAGGTTTCTGGAAAATGCAGGTATTGCCGTTGATCCGGCTAGGTAAAAATATAGGTACGTATAGAATGTTGGGAAAAGGTTACTGTTAAATTAGCATAACGAAAAATATTCTCCGGGGTTAAAGTCCTTTCATCATACTCTCTACACTTGTGTTTATTAAAAACCTAATCAGGGCCGTAGCCAATGGGGGCTTTGGGATTCATAGTCCCTTGTACATTTCGGAATTCTTTATGAGATACTGAGAACTCATATTTAACAATACATATGAAGCATATTATATACATGTGAGGAATAATGTTTGTCCGTCTTTAGAAAATCACGTGGCTACGCCCCTGACCTAAATAAAGAACTAGTGCCTGAATTAAACGTATCGTTGTTTACAAGTACCTCTGAGATTGTTTCAAATGCAAAAATATTAATTTTGCCTTAAATCGATATAGCCACATTGTTATGTTTAGCGTATTAGTGCACTGGCTATATTTGTAGGTAGATATATTTTTTGAGGGAAATCCAACATAGCTTGTAGATAACGGCAATTTTATATACAGCGTGTGCAAGATTCTCTGGTCTATCTGACAAATACCGAGCAATCTATAATTGAAATTAGTACAATCTATAGTATCTTTTCTCAGTCAAACCAATGAAAATCAAAAGTGTTAACAAGTCATTCCAAATGTTGCTGCCACAAGTCGGTCAACGGTAGACAGTAGTTGAAAAATATTGTCAACCGGAGAATCGTATATTCTGTCACTGCATGAACTGTTAATTTACAAGGTCATGGATTTAAGTGAATATTTTTGAATAAATATGAAATGCTTTGATAGCTTGTATTAAACATCTAATAATATGAAATAGGTAAAGCTGAATTTATCATAAAAGTGTCAGAAGTTAAATGATGAAAAAAAGTTAAAATAAAACAAAAAATGATAGTCTTCTGATGTACGGAAGACTTTTAACATTTATAGATTTTGTGTTATAGTCGTACATTTCTCAAGTATCTAGTAAACATTTTTGGTCTTCATTGAATAGAACTGCTGGAAGACTCGCTCTTAAAACTTGGTATTAGGAGAGATGCAATTTGAAATGAAATATAAAATATTCTGTATAGGTTATCAAATGAAAGTAAGGTCCTCGTTGCACGTTGCAAAGTTAAATCCATGGATACGTGGATAACTTGATAAACTTGTGCGATTTCAAAACCTCAACTTGCAGAGCTTATCAAAAAACATCGATCACTCAAATCTATAAGAAAAAAGGAACAAATTATAATTGCCAATATGTCATCTACACTTAGCAAGTAATTTGTATACTGTTTTCTTATTATATGTCGCGTTCGTAAAAACCTAGCAAAACTCCAGCAGCCACAAATATTAATATCACCAAGTTTGCGCGTATATCTCAAAACAATTAATGCAAGATTTACTGTAAATCACCTTGAGGTGTATGTGTGAATGCAGTGATTTCAATTTCAATGGTAGCTTGAGTAGAGCTGTGTTCTGATAAACGCGATTATTGATACATCTACGGCAAATGCGAACCAACAATAATCTAGTTCCAATTTCTTATGATTATCCATTTACCGTGATCACTTGCATTTGTCTTTTTATGCCTGAAAAGATTATAAAACTGCTTGTTCCTGTATATTTGAGATGAAATGTGAAGTGATACTCATATACAGAATAGTTTATTGAAAAGCACGAAACGTCAACGAGGATATTCGGTATTCGAACGAATACCAAATAGGGATACCGGCAAATGCTAGCCAAATATCTAACTGCTCTTAAAGTAGATTTGTATAAATTTATGTATATTGAACAAGAACTGTTGTTACTACCGTAATCTTGAAGATAACTACATGTTATAAGTGTAAGACAAGTATAAATGTTGACAAATAACTTAAATGTGTATATAATATATGTTAGCTGGTATCTATCTACATCAATTATTGTAGACTTATAGTACAGAATAAACGTATTTAATTAAATGTATATCTTATTTAACCATAAACCATCTACAAACTTTATCTTCTCAATTCATCTGGACTTTGGTCGTTATAAATTATCTTAAGTTATGTAATTTAGTGAGGATGTTCATCTTTTGCTTTTATCCATGTTGAACAAATTATAATTTTGGTGGATGTGTCAAGTTAGTAAGCTGAAATTCAGAAAAACTAAATTAACGCATAAATACTGTATTTTGCGTAAAAGTAGCAGCTGAAAATTTCTAGATGGCGACTGGACGCCATTTTAGATTTTTTTAATTTTACATTTCATTTTGAAGCTCCTTATAAGTCTGCTTTGTAACTCTCAAATATTTATATGATTACGATGTTTTAAAATTACGTACAGCAGGCTGTCAAAGTTGAGCGTTTTTACTATAGTATGAACCTTCTTCTCTTGGAAATCTCTATTTGAATATCGAATGAAATATGGAACACTCCAATCAGAATTATCGAAATCTGCCAATTTTTTGCAACTAAATATCTCATATTTTTTCGCGAACGCAAATAGGCCCCAGTTATTCAAAATCCAAAAACGCTCATATACGACAGCGCCCCAATCCGCCATTTTGGATACACCTAAGGTATCACAGGACTTCTCATTCAATTTAAATAAATTTTACAACATGGTGCCCAGCTGCCATCTTGGAATTTTCAACTCTTATTTTTACGTTAAAATATAGTATATGCTTTGATTTCATCATCTAGCATTTCAGCTTGCTAGGGGCCTTTCTGTGCCTATTCCTAAACTCAAGTTTATTTTTTACTTTATGGTGGCCAAATATTTTTAACGTGAGTAAATTGAAACATCCTTCAACAAACATTTTTTTCTAATGTTAGTAAAAAATAGTAATTTAGGATAGTCATATGCGCAAAGTCGTATTATTTTAGAACAAATTCAGTTGAGTCCAACCATTTTCTTTGCCACTTATACTTGTTTCTACCATGAAAATATTCATAAATAAGCCCACATGACAGCATAATCAGTCATTTTAAGAAATACACATTTGAATACGAGACCAGTCCACAGTTTTAAGTATTACCCGTTTGCCGAACGCTAAATAGTTATGTATAGTCAAAACGTATACTTCTCACAAACAGCAGACTCACTATACTCATCATAGTAGACTAATCCTAATGGAAACAGCGAATAAAAACGGATCTTTCAAAAAAATTCAAATCGTTAGTAGACTGCTGGTAGACCCAGCGAGGAAGGGTTATACTCAAAAGTTGTTCTTTTAAACGGTTCATAGCATGTTAGCTAAAAAAAAAAGTTTTACTTTTTTGCTATTTTGTAATTCTAAAACACTGGAAAGTTAAACTTATAGTTTGAAGCTAAAAATTTTAGTGATTTACTTTGTGAATTGCAAAATAAAAATATATATGCGAGACGATTACGATGCTGCTAAAGTACCTACCAGGCGAATCAAAAGTTGTGCGGTATATGATTTAAAATAAACTTGCCTCGCATGTACTTAGCGACATCATGATAGCCTGACAATTATACTTTTGTACTTTCCAGTCAACGAACTATATCATATTAAAATTTCTAGTTTCAAACTGCAAGTTTTATTATCCATTTTTAAAAATACCAAAATTGTAAAAATAGTGAAAACAACAAGCAAAGCATCCTTCTATGAACCATCTATAAAAAATGTCTAGCTTTCAAATGCAATCGTTACTTGCAGGGTGGACGAGCTCACAGTTTATAAAGTGCCCAAGGGCAGGGAACCATCAGAGTACGCCTTTTTATTGTTCCGCGTGATTCCTGCAGTCTTGTCTTGATACAGTTTTTTTTATACTCCAACTACCACGAAGGCCTAAGGCCTAGCAGCCTTTGGGTACCGTGGGGCTATAGGGGGATACATGGGAAAGGGGGGACGCCACACGGACTCTGGCGAGGGAACACGTGTGCATGCAACATGCACACATTCTGGCTCCGCCTACGAGATCCGCCGGGTGGTACCTCCGCGTTCGACAGTCAGAGACCGTCTACCACCTACAGACAATCACAGCATCCATAGCCAAGAGAAAAATTTCTCCTGGGACGGGACTCGAACCCGCACAGCGCAAAGCGACTGATCAGGAGACCGAAGAGTCTACTACTGCGGCCACCGCTGCTGCCTACAGTTGGTCCACTGTAACGTTTTTTCTATTTAAAGCGGTTCAGCGGGTCTTAGGTTCTGCTATACTACATGTCTTTAGGATGTCACACTTTTTGCCGGCTTAGGTCTTTTCCGTGTTTCAATTAGGATTAGATCTGCTATACAATAGGCATATTTGTTTCAATTAACGTCTTAAAAGAAGAGATATAATAAAATGGAAAAACGACTGAAATATCTATTTTACTGAAATGTTTTTTGCATTAGTGCTTGGATGCACGTTAGTAGAATAAGAAATCCCGTCTAAGGTAATGATATTAGTAAATTGGAATACTTTAATGATCCCGATTTTTAGCTAGTTCTTACTTCCCACGCCACTGGACGAGGATAATGGAGTTTTTGGATGTTATAAGACACGTACAATGACGAAAAATCATGCTACTCATTTCCGTCGGTCTGTTGGTCAGTCGGTATGTCTGCTAATCTACATGCTGTCCCAGAAATAGCCCGCCAGAGTGACACTGGAGGTAGATTGGCTTCCGATCAGTCAGATAAAATCAACATGACCTTAGTAAAAGTTTTCTAGTTTTCGAGATATTGCCACTTTAAAGTTTTTTCAAAAAATACCCTACTTTTGGCTCCTTTTCTCTGTGTTATGGCTATAAAATAACTTCTAACTTATGTTTTTTTTCCTGGACCACAATTAATTCAATGCGAAAACATCACCTGAATCAACAAATGACCTTAAAAATTTAGCTATTCAATGCTCTTTCAAGAATAGTATAACATTTGTAGGTTCTTTTTACTAAAAACTGAATAATTCCAAGTTTTGTCGTTGAAGTCGTTGTACTTTCGAAATAGTACAAATGAAAAATCTTTTTGTGTTCAAACTGCACCTTTTTAGTTGCTGTAATTGCAATATTATTTTAGCAAATGTCTAAAACAGTTATCCATTATCCTTTTTTATTCATTGTTGTATGCAGGCATCAAAATAATGAACATAACATTATTTGTTGTATGTTTTTTTATTACCATTGATTTTTACAAGATTCAGGTGGTACCTGCGCACCGCGATTGCAGCAACTGCAAAGTTGTGATTTAAGCACAAAAGACAGATGTATACGTATTTATTATCTTTTATTTGTAGTATTTTGCACGTATTACGACTTCAATGATAAAACTTAGAATTATTCATTTTTAGTAAAAAGTTCCTACAAACAAATGTTATACTATTGTGGAAAGATCATTCAATATTTAGGAGCTTCTGATCCTTTTCAGAAAAAAAATTCTATTGGACAAACATTTGGGTTGGATAGTAAGGGGTGGGGCAGGGTATTCATGTATTTATACGCTCCCAGCCCCGGTAATTTCTCGCACATATTAGATATATTTCACACCCGTACATTTGCCTTTAAAACTTGTTTTCGACACCCGACTCAGCGGTACCGCGCTTATATGGGAAGGGTCAACGTTGCCAGATGGACGGTAACTATCGGTATTGCTGTGGACAGGGCTGTTTGACTGACTTCATCCATATAATTTCTTTGATATACATATTCGTAATCGACTTTTTTCTCACAGAGTTTAACTTATGCTGAACCTAATGCTACTATTCGTCATTGTCTGTCAGAGAGGTCCGTGGGACCTTTGCTCTTGGTTGAAGTCTTGTAAGTCAGTAGGTCTGTCAGGTCTGGTTGCCCAGATACCAAACAAATTCAGGGAGAAAGAAGGGAAGATGAAAGGAAGGAAGGAAGGAGGGAGAGCAAAGAAAAAGAAATGCATCAATTTGAGGGGTGCCTTGGCATTGCTAGTTAGTATTCGGCAATTTTAAATTGATCCTAAAATTAATTTTGGGATTGGTTGTTGACGAAATGAACCTAATCCTGTATGTCCTGATAGCGGCGTTGTGTAGGAAGTGCAAGGTCAACCTAGTCTAGGCCATTTTTTTAATCTTTACGTATGATAATAGAAAAATGCAATTTTCGTTATTTAATCAGTAAGAAAATTTTGTCCTTAGCTTTTTCATGGGTGAAGATGATGCTAAATCAACCCATTTTCTTGAGTGTTATAAGACTTTGTCAATTGAACAACATCCCTGCAATTATCTTTTTGTAGTAGACTTATTTTAATACCCAAACTTTTTCTCTCTTCTCTGCATGGTTCGTCAGTAACCATTTTACAAAGACAACCACAAATAGAATTTTTCTATCTTTAAAATTTGACTACACTATCAATGTACGGAGGTTGAGCGCTTGCTTCGGAGTATTGAATTTAATAAGGAATAACTACCCTAGAAATATCAATCCGGACAAAAAAGATAAACTGTAGTATACTTCCCAGTTTACTTCGCGTAGTCATCCAATAGATGGCAATAATTATTGATCTCCCTCAATACATGCATACCACATGTTGATGCGAATACCACTTGCGCAGATCAATACTGCAGACGTTTGTAGAAAATCGGCTAATGTCAAGGATCATCCGCTAACCTCACCTGTTCACTTTGTGAAGATGTGACAGCTTCATTTCAAATACCCCCGGTATGTTTATTGATATTACATATAGATTATTGCATGATAAAATTTGGATATGTTCCATTAATTGCATTTTAGTTGGATCATACAGTACACACCTTGTGTACCCCTAAAATCGAGAATTTGAAAATGCGAGTAGTCGACCATGCAGCGAAAATTTAAAACGTAATAAACCTATTTGTTTATAATTTGTTGTAACGACATTGTATTCTTGAATGGGATGACTACTATAACAAAATTCACATTGTCTAATGACATGCCACGTGATCAAATTATACAGATCAGAAATTGGGATGGTCATTTCAATCCATCAGTTCAGTCAAGTAGATCGACTCGATACTTCCTGCTTGCCACACATCAATATCCATTTTCAATTGACCTGCTTAGACACTCCTAAAAAAATATTTTCGGGATAACAGAAAATGCAGTTAATGCGGCCCGAAATAACACGCCAGAGTGACACGGGAGGTGAATTAGCTTGAGATCAATCAGATAAAATCAACATGACTTTAGTAAAAGTTTTGTAGTTTTCGAAATATTGACGCTTTTAGGTTTTTTCAAAAAATCGATTCGTTTTGCTCCTATTTTGTTATGGCTATTAAGAACTTCTAACTTATGAGTTTTTTCCTGGGCTACCATTAATAGTTGGTTGAAACAACCGGGTATTCATTTCATCGAAAACTATCACGGTATGCTCTAAAAAATTAATACATTTTGTGTCAATGTGAAAACCTTTACTAAAGTTTGACTAATTACTGACAAAAAAATGTACCAGACTGAATCGGGGAATGATCTTAAAAACTGGCCTATTTAGTGCTCTTTTAAAAATAATATAACATTTGTAGGTTATTTCTACTGAAAATTGAATAATTCCAAGTTTTGTCATTGAAGTAATACTTGGAAAATACTACAAATAAAAAATAAGTTCAACAGTATTTTATATCCAAATCACTATGAAATAAAACGACCTAAACAGCGAAAGAGCTAAATAACTGACACAAGGCACTGGCGCTCCCAAGGGGCGTAATCCTGGGAGCGCCACTGACACAAGGAGCAGCACTAAATTAACGGTGATTAGGTACCACCGATGTTCCTCGAGGTGACATAATGAGCCGTATTCATAAAAGAGAAGCATATCCTCGGAAGCATAAGGTAAAAGTATAAGGTCTTGCTTCGGAGAAAAAGGTAGAAGTATAAGCATATCCTTGTTTTCATATTCATAATGATTACCTTATACTCGCGAGGATATCCTCCAAGAAGAAGTAAAAGGTTGACTGGTATTTGTATCTTGAGCGGCATGTCCTGACTTGTTCCAGCTTGTAGTTGACGTGGGAGTTCGTTCACTCATCATCACTGACAGTCAAGTGATGAAGAAACTATAGAAAATAATGGCAACGACCTGCAGTTGATCGCAGATGAAATTGCCATTGCTCATTATTTTGCAAAAGTGCAAGTTCCAAAAATAAAAATGAGAAAGAACGATGCCTTGAAGAAGATGTTGAAAAAATATGAATCAACATTCGGTAAACCATTAGATACTAAAGGCTTATTAAAAAAATCAACAACATGAAATCAAGATTGAGGAAAAAAACAGATTTAAAAAACTGGTAATAAAGCAATTAAATTGTTAGATTGGGGAAGAAAGTTGCTGTAATCCTACAATTGGAAAAATTAGAGGTGCCATTCAGGTTGATAGTGTTCAAGAAGTGAACTAGGTATATGCCGAGCGCAGTGAGCAAACAGTTAGTATTAGAGCGCCAGCAATTTAGAAGACATTGCCACCAGAAAGAACATTAGCAACAAAGAAATACGAAACTGAGGAAATCAGAGGGTTAACTACAAAAGAACTGCCACGTCTAGTGCTATTACAGCAGTACCAAACAAGTATTTTACAACAAGAGTATTATAAAACGAAATTGGATGTGATGCAGCGTCAGAAGCCACCTGTAACTTATTATGTTCACGAATATAAAACTTATTATAACTTATAAATACACTTTAATCAATATAACTATTTATTATAATACTCAAGTTTCTTCTTATTTGTTGACCTAGTTGGCGTAGAGGAAGTTTGTCATTCTCATGATTTCCTTCATCTTCATCTGGGTCTTGGTGAACTAATTCAAAGTCAGGATCGCCCCAGCTCTTCGCAACATTATGGAGTACAATACACCCAATTATTATTTTCGGCACATTTTCCAACTTTACGCGACTAACATACTCTAGGATAGGAAACCGGCGTTTCAGTTGGCCGAAACAGCGATCAATTAAAACTTTTTTTTGTTTTAAAAGCTTCTTATAATTTATTTCTGCACCTGGAGTAGGATTTCTGAAGGGAGTCATAAGGTATGGCTCAATACCATAACCGTCATCGCCAAGTAGTACAACATTTGCTTTACTTATTAGTTGTGATCTAGTCTCTGAATTTCTCCATATTCTGGAATCATGCACTGATCCAGGCCAACTGACATGAAGACTGGCATCACAAGTGGCTTGCACATTTAAAGTAGGTTTCCCTTTTCGGTTGATATACTCATCTCCATGGCGATTTGGTTTCAGGATCCCTATATGTGTACAATCGATTACACCAATTGCTGTCGGAAATTTATACATGCTTGACCATATCCGCTTGGCCTCCATCAGTTCATGGTTGATAGTTGGAAACTTGATCCATTCGTTCGACTGTGCAACTATGCTGTTCACAACTCTATCCACAGTTCGAGATACCGTTGCTTGACTAACACCCAGTTCCTGACCAATACCTTGTTGATATCCAGGGTCACCGAGTTTCCTCATTCTCATCTAAAAATCTGTCACCAAGCCATTGTACATTTGCTTCTTCGAACCGATATAAGTTTTTGAAGTCACGACCAAGTGAAGGTAAACGAGATTTGTACGTTTTAACATCCACAATTTCCGCTATCATCGTTTGACCACCTTTCGTTACGAAGTTGAGTCTGCTACTGACCACACTAAGAATTTCTGAGGGATATGCTACCTATGCCAAGTATAAGGTGAAGATTATGAATATCATTTTACTTATGTCACTGTTTTGAAGGATATGCTTATACTCAAAAAGCAAAAGCATTTACTTCAAATTATTATAAATGCCATCTGGAGGATTTCCTTCAAAATTTGCATGTACAAGGATATCCTTTGTTTTATTAATGTGGCTCAATGTTATATACCGAACAATGAATGTGAGAGCAAGATAGTCAATGATATGCTTATGTCGTTTTATTACTTAGTAATTTGTATACAAAATACGGCTGCACTTATTTTTTATTTGTAGTATTTCCCAAATATTACGAATTCAATGGCAAAACTTGAAATTATTCAATTTTTAGTAGAAAGAACCTACAAATGTTATACTATTCTGAAAAGAGCATTAAATATGCTGGTTTTTAAGATCATTTGCCGATTCAGTCTGGTACATTTTTTTCACAGTAATTAGTCAAACTAGATTTCAATGAAATGAATACTCGGTTGCCTCAACCAACTATTACTGGTACCTCAGCAAAAAACTTATAAGTTATAAGTTCTTAATAGCCATAACAGGCAAAAAGTAGTGATTTTTTGAAAAACCTAAAAGTGGAAATATCTCGAAAACTAGAAGACTTTTACTAAGGTCATGTTGATTTTATCTAGTTGATCAGAAGCCAATCTACCTCCCGTATCACTCTGGCGTGTTATTTCTGGGACACCCTGTATATCTTTTGGAAAATAAATTGTCGTACACAAGATGTCCGAATTTAATAGAATGGGATTTGAAATTTGATAGCATTGATCCCATAAAAAAGTTTAGTGACTGCGTGCTACAATTATCAAGAATTCAAATCGCGTTTAAAACATTTGGACTTGGACTTGAATTTTTATTGATCTGTCTGCGCCTAGGTTTCTTGTCGCCCACGTCTTAATTATATTTGACGGGAAATTGATGCTCCAACAGAATTGCTTAAAAAAAGGATTATTCAGAAATCGAAAAGCTACGCTTTAATAATTTTTTTTAATTTTCAACGATTTTTAAGCATCTTTGTTTGATGAGTTAAAGCACAGTTCAAAGCCCATTGTAATAATTCTAAGGATTAGACATAAATTTCAATTTCTCAAGTCATACCATACATTTTCTTCTTATAATTTAATTTGGATGAAACCTTTTGCACAAGGTTGCCACTATGCACTATAACAAAAAGTATAGTAAGTATAATGGGCAAAAACCGCAAAAAAGAGGAAAGTGGATTCGAGCAGAAAATAGGATAGGTAACCCGAGCGATACGTATTTATGCTGGTTGGCTTCATCAGGCCCGAAATGAATGCACATATGAAACTACAAAAGTAGATACACATTCCCTCTCATCCGGATACAGGTGTAACCTGAGGAAGCAATATACGTTATATACAAAAAATACAATTAAATTGTTAATTGGGAATTGGCAAACTTTAAGCTTAGTAAACTCTTTTGACGGTAATCTCGAGCTTTCGATAATCTATGTTGTCATCTTCAGGAGTCGTCGGTGAGGTTGCAGCAAAATGGTGTTTTAAAACGAAAGCGTGGACAATAACAGTTGTTGCAATGTAAAACCAAAAGACTGGACACTTTGGATTTGTTGCTAACGGCCGACACCATAGCTAGGTGTTACCACTATATATAAATAAACCCGAGTAAATTAAAAATTGTAAAACATACTCAAGTTATTGAAAACTAATACCTCATTTTGGGGAAACAGCAAAATCCCTTCTAACCTCGTACGTCTGTTGACATCTAAAGTCTATTCTTTCTCCAGGATTGTAGTGTGAAATACAGAGTCAACCTATGTGACGTCATTTTTTGTTACTCACGTTGGTCTTTCGATCCCTTTTTTTAAAACGCTATGTTTCACTTATTTGATTCTTATAAATATGTTCTAGTTGTATCGAAAATGTAACTGCTGTGATCTTGCCTAAACCTGAAAGAGAGTCTTCCGTGATAAATACGTGAGAAAATGGCCGAGAACACTTATGAATATGAATGTATGCGCGCAGAGCTGTTAGGAATAGAAAAACCAGATTATGAAGAGTATATGAAGAACAGACCCCCAGAAGCTGAAAGAAAAGAGGTGGAAGAGGATGAGACTGATTCAGAGAACATGAAGGTAAGCGTTAACATCCATGAAAAAATAGGAGATATCCCATATATTGGAACGGCAACACTTTTATCGGATAGTTATGTTCAAATTTATTGTAACTTCATCATAACATGTTAATCAGTAAAGATCCAAAACAAAAGGTTGAAACTTTTATGACGAAAATCTAGTCTGCTGGAAAATTAAAAACTCAAAGTATTCGAAACTACGTGACTTGTTGTTTATTCCACATTGATGACCATAACTTCGAAAGTTAATAAAGACTTTTACGAAACGTCTATGCAACTCAAATTGTTTAGTTACAGTTCAGGAAGTCTTAGTGAAAACGATGCGTCTCAAAATTGGATTTCACCAAACTTAAATATGTATGTCAATGCCACCTAAAGCATGTCTTTTATAGCAATCTCTAATCTCAAAAATTATTGTCAATACAGAATCAAAACTGAATTGTTTGAAATAATCTGATCAAGAAAATGATGAATGATGAAATGAAATGATGATGAAACGTAAATGAGATTTGAAGACACTGTACATTTTTCACAAAATGTATCCAGTCCCAAATTGTTACGTCTTTTGCCATATAGTCTAAGTTGAGAAGAATTCTTACGAATATACTCAAGTACAAGAGATTAATCGAAAAAACTCACCCAAAAAATCCGTTACGCTAAAGAAGCGTTCTCTTTGTTCATCAATCGAAGGAATATCGAAGAACGCTATTTATTGTTGTTTTGAAAACAAATCCACTAATTTTGTTGTTAGGACATAAGTACGATGAGAGTTAATAGATACCATAAATTATATGCATATGAAATTAAACTTACCAGAATGCCCATCAGCATCATCTCTAAAGTGCCAAGGTGTCTTCAACAATTAAGTTCTCACGGTGCTTTTCAAGCAAACACACCCGACACTCACGTACTATAGACGAATGTACAAATTATTGCGATCAGTTTTTCCGTAGAATATCACGAAAACACAAAAAATAATCTCCCCAGCGCTCCAAAATAAGTTATCAGTTAAACTGATCACACATTACACCTATTTTCCAATGAAGGAGTCGTTTTCTGTAAGATGCTATCGCTAGATGTGTAAGTACAGTCATGTACAGAATTATCTGTGAAAACCCTTTGATTATTTTTAATTATTCAAGAGTTGTGCTGAACCTTTCTCATTTGTAAACAATCACATCAAGTCGATTACCTAAAATTTCTTTAAACATTTAATTGATATTACATGATCTAGCAAAAATCAAAGCAAAGCAAAGAAATGATAATATCGATGAGAAAATGGCGTCAAGGCATCGTTGGTTATCAGAGCGGTCCGCAGGACCGTAACCGTTGTATCATAGTGTCAGTTTGTAAGTCTGTCAGGTCTGGTAAACCAGAAGAAAATGGCGTGTTAGTAGAAATTATGACATTCAAGCATCTCTCGAAAATAGAGCTGGGGAAAACATCTTCTGGCACATTGTTAGGACTAGACCTCAGATGAGCAAAGTACCCGAAAGGCCGCCCAATCAATGTGAGAGAGGCTTGAGACCATATATTAAGGTATGTCATTGATCATTCGCATAGCCCTTCTCTGAACGGCATCAGATAAGGATAGTCTAAATGGAACACCAGCACCTAAAGGCATGTGAATAATGCTACTAAATGACAGGCCTTAATAAGGCCTTGTACAAAATGCGGAAATCAGACAGCTCTAAACAGTTCTCCTAGCGTCTTTTCAATAACATGTATCATCTCCTCAGTGGTCTGACCTACGACAAAACTGAGGAAACATGAATCACATGGCTTCTTGATAATGCTTGGTCATCTTTTTAAGAAAAGGGGTATATATTACTGTTTCTTGGACTAAGAATTACCTTGCCAGAACTAAATTGTGAGACATGTCGCCTCCTAATCCTCTAGTTGTATCCCACTCCCGCTCTTCATTTGTCATAAGAGCATTTGCTCTCAGAAGCGCTGCTTAGGTGTGCTTAAGCATGCAGTCGCCACTCGCGCTCCACAATTCTTTAGCTATGGTCCCCCCCCCCCTTCAAATTTATGTTAATCAGTGTGCATCCTCCTCCCGGAAAAGAACATGTGCTGCGGCCACCGTTGCCCACGACCCCCCTCTGTTCAAAACTAAATCTTCTCTGACCATATATGTGAGTCGAAAAGAGTAATCAAAAAAGAAATAGCTGATCTGATGATTTCATGTACCTCCGAACTTCAACATTACTCTGGATTTAAAAAATTCTAAAACCAATAATTATTTTATAGGTAATCGATTCTGATCAAGAAGGAATGAGGCGTATGTCAGGAGGCCTAGATGAGCTCAACTCTATACTGAAAAGAACACAATCGAAGATAAATAAGTTTAAGGTAAATATTCCGAACCCGCAACTAAACTCGGAGAAACTTGCATTGTGTAGAAGTTGAAGTACGTCATCCAAATTCTAAATTGAAATCCGAAGCGTGGTTCTTTGACATATTCATATTGTCTAAAAATATCATCTACTTTGTATTGTGTATTGGAGCCGAGATCGTAGCTACGTTGGCCTTATCGCCTTTTGAGGAAATCTCAAGGATACATCTCTTATTCCTGTGCCACCCTAAACTAGTTCAGGGCCTAGACTATCTTCCTTTAGATGATGCCTGACTTTTATTTATGCTTATAGTAAAATTAAGTAGGGATGAATCGAGTACTCGATTTGTAACGCTTATAAGGCCCATTTTACCAAGGACGCGGGTTCGCAAAGTATTAAGTCTTGGTGGGCAGGTGACTAGGTCACCTTTGACCTTTTTTGTTGACCGCGTAGGACCACCACTGAACACTGTACTACTACATCTACTACACAACATCCATGGCAAGAAAGTAACTTTCGAGGTGGTGATTCGAACCCGCGAACCCGGAGCTGGTCGACGCGCTGACCACCAAGCTACCGAGGCTCCCCTGCATTTCGGTTCGCTCTTACATTTTCCACACAAACACTCAAAAAACAACAAAAGCCATAAAACAAACTGAATGCAGCAAAGGTTAGAAAGTAACCGGAGTAGAAACGAGTTTCCCGCGTTTCTCCAAACAAAAAACCCTTACTCAGTCGTAAATATAATTTCAGTTTATTTTTATAATGGTTCGACACATCAAGCAGTTTTTACCTTGTACCTTTTGTAAAACCTATAGTACTTAAAGTCAGTTTTCGCGATAGCTATGAATGACATAGCAACGATTCTAATTGGTTAATTTTTCGAAATTTTGAACATGAGGCTAGGCGTTGTCTACCTCCATTAAAATGTAGGTTTAAGATGTCGAGCATATACCTTTTGAATATCTTACGAATGTGCTTTTCTTGAAAAAATACCTAAATCTAATGTTCCCAAATGTAATCACAAAATATGGTTTGCATTTTAACTCAATATTGTAGCTGCCTAATTCCTGCAACTGTTGTTTTTTGTAGTATGTTAAGTTCTTGGAAAAGGAAATTTTGAGAATAAAAGCATTTGGAATGGCATGTTTGCTTTCCGTCTCTGTAACAACGATCAGCCGGAGACGGTGCTCATTAGCAACTCGTCAGTGTGGTATGGGTCTAGTAGTCCTGGAGACAGATGAACGGAAAGCAAACGAGTGGGTATCGTCGTTTGAAAAACTCAAAATACTGTGCAAAGCTAGGCGAAAAATTGGTCGATCTCCACCTACCAATAGCTTGTCAAAGTTGGTCTTCATCCTCGTCCCGTACGATCAAAACTGACGGGAATCCCCTACGCTAAAGAGACGTTTCAGAAACGCAAATATAATCTAAATAACACTAATAGTAGCTGGATTAGCCCATCACAAATCACAACCGAGTACTCGTCCGAATACTCGGCTGAGTTCCGGTGCCCGGTCGAGTACCTGATAGCGCTGGCAAATGCATTCACATGTGCTAGACGGCAATATACATATATCGTTGTACTGAGAATCAGAATTGCATGCTATAAGTAGATATTTGGAAATATTGCATATCTTGATCCTGCTAGAATTATAAGGTAGCAACTTTTCCAGGCTACCTGTGGTCCGATCACAAACCTAATCAGGATCAAGATGTCCAGCAGATCAGGCTCAGCATGCTCGCTGGACGAAGATAGACAATCTGACGCAGGACCCTCCTCTAATGATCCATCCCACTATTCTTGTGCAACGAAAACAGAACCCGATTCGGTTAGAGAAAAAACAGTTGCTACAGAATCAACTGACGAGACGGTACCGGTGAAGAAAAGTGAATTGAGGAACGCCTTAGACTATGATATCAACAAACTCGACGGCTTGATAGAAAAGGCTGAAAATGCTCAGTACTCGATGGCTCATCAGAGCAAAGAAATAAAAAAGTTCTTAAAATAATGGTCTTAATTATGTGTCTATTCTACACCAATGCATTATTCATGGATACATTTTAAAAAACCGTACAGAGGTCATCTCAGGGGAATTCCCTTTTTCAATATCCGCCATGAAAAATACTAAACAGCATATAAAACTGTCACACAAACTTTAAGCTGCTAATATGTCTGCAAATAGTTAAGGTTTCTCTTCTACGTCGTAGCAAAATATAACTAAAACGATAATCTTACAGATCTTCGAATCTTTAGCTCAGGTTGGCTTTGCAGCACGTGAAAGAGCATGTTATTAGTAAGAAATATGGAATTGAGGTAGAATGGAAGAACCATTTCCAATAAAAGATTAGTAAAGATTTATCTTATACATCGTCTCATATTCTGTGTGTACCTATTTACATTTAACACTAATTGTAAGACAATGAAAATACGTCAGGTAAGCTTATTTGCTAATTGTACCTATATATATTGCAGGTAGGAATAAAAATAAGTGCAAACTGTTGATATTTTTAAGATTTTACGTGTAAAAATATATAAGGAATACTGTAGAGCCTTTGACATAACGATGAAATAAAAATTAAAAGTTTTTTGAAATTTTATTGCTTAAGACAAAATTAGACTGGTGGGTCATATCGCTTTCTATTCTAGATCGGTCAGATGGAACATAAATACTACAATGTATATTATCAGTAAATATTAGGATTTACACCTTACAATTTCATAATGCATGAAAATACGTATCACTCATACCTGCATGCGTTTCCGTTGGACTCACGATCACAACTATTTTCGTTTTTGTCAGTGCCCAGTTGCAATAACATCCCAACCAATTTCAATCAAGAACGGATACAACTATCGGAGCAATGGCATTATATTTCAAAAAATCATTGTAGAGATAACAAAAAACAAACAGGTACATTTTTAAAAAAATACATACAACCCAACTGCAGTAACTGAAAAGAATGAAGATTTAATTCGTCTATGAAGAAAAATCTAGAAACACCTCGTATTTGTCAAAATCCATCAAGCCGTTTTTAAGCTCTGTAGCCCGTGAAATAGGAATTTCAGGGTCGATTTTTATTGAAATCCGCCATTTGGTTTTTATAAAATGTTAATGAATCCAGTCTCACTCGCACTAAAGAAGAATCCAACAACCGCATTATGCCAAATACCACCATGTCATTTAAGCTGTAGCCTGTGGAATAGGTATTACAAAAAACGCAGGACAGCTAGAATTACAGTACTTATCCCCTATGAATAAATATTATAGTGTGAAAAATACTACTGCATCGATCTCCTTGACCATCTTTTTTGAAGGAATGGAATTTCCATATATCCCTTAAATTCCAACCAAGTAAACTTTCTGCATTCCCCCTGTAAATACAACAGGTATACGGTTATCTGCCCGTGAATAAGCGGGCATTCGTTTTTCGCCGAAGTTTGCCGATCATGATGCTGCCACTGTTGCCAAAATTACAAACCTGAAAGCCTGAGAGATTTGACTTGAATTTAATTACGGTGTCAGAAAAACGTCATGAAACTTGTAAAGTGCATTACATTATTTTTTCTGATTATTTCGTACAGGTGAGGTATTTCAGAGATACAGATTTGGTTACACTTTTGGGCAGAAAAAGAGGTCTATTGAGGCCGGTATAAGGTGGAAGAGAGGGGGGCGGCTGATGCGCGCGACTCTCGATCGTGTTAAATTAAGAAACGTCACAGTCCGCCTCAGTCTCGCTAAGGAAGTGGTAGGTGCGTTAAGGGTCTTTCTCGCAGGCACCTCGGACCCAGCTCGATTTTCCGGAGAATCTCACCAATTGCACTACGTGTGATGGCTTTTCTTCGCACCGTGAACAGATGTAGTGTTTACAAGAAATACGGTTCGCTATTCGACCATCTGCAATCGAGCAGTTTCGGTAAAATCAATGTTAATCAGACTGTTTTAAAATCTTCGGCGGCCAGCGGGATTATTAGTGAAAATGCATCGCAATCTCAGACCGTTCCACAGCAGCAGCAACCACCTAAAGACCCTTTGGACGTCAGTTTCGAAGATCACAAGGCGGCATTCAAAAGCAAGACCAACCTGGAGCTCATCAGAGCATACGTGGTCTACACGCTATGTTCGATTGAGTTTCTCGTCGATAATAACATGAAGGTAAGACAACAATCCAAATATTCCATAAAATAGTAACCGTAAAGTACCGGCCCAATATCTTGAAATCACCACTAAACACGTGGTTGCACGGTCTCCAGTGCAATTCCAGAAACTTAAATCTATTTCCAATCTAGGCCAAATTAGGTTGCATAATTTTTATATCATCTAACACCCAAAAAATCCTCCGAATTCCAGTAAAAACGAGCGAAAATGCCCCAAGAAATGTGAATTGATTTTAAGCCGAGTGACGTTTCGTTCTTCAAAGTTGGCAATGAATGAGGCCAACGTTCTTGTATCGATTTTCGCCAGTGATGTCGCCAGAAGGGAATTGCTTCAAAATTTAAATAATAACACCGCTTAAATCCTTCTAACATGTCTGAATTAAATTACAGGATTATTTTAAATAATGCAATTAGCATTATTAATCGAGTACGATCCACTAAATAATGCCGCAATTTAGTATGTTTTGGTTCCAAAGTATGTTTAATGATTCATGCAATTTGTTATATAACCTACCTACAATTTGAGTTTGTGCATAATATTGCACTTTCAACATCTTCTATTGTTTAGCCTGTTTATATTGAATTATGATTATGACACATATTCTGCCTTATATATATAAATAGCTTATGGAATTTTTCTGATGAACTAGAATAATTGTGCAATATCTACTGCAGATTAGTAAAGTTACACTAGTAGCCAAAAATGTCTGGGACATTGAACAGTCTGGGAAAACTAGTATTGAAGCAATCAATAAAGTTTTTGACAGTATTTCTATGATTGGAATCGCATAACTTAAGGGCATGCAGTGCTGTCACAGCTTTATGTTGTATCATAGTACCTACACTACCATGCAAAAGTATAAGGACATCATCAAAAAAATCAATTGTTGGAGTTTATGCCTGGTTTTTTTTTGTGTTATGATTTATATCCATTTGCATTAAATTAGCTAATTATTACTAGTCAAAATTATGAAATTATGAAGGAATCAAAAATTCTTATTTCATATTTACGCTTTAATTTCAATTATAATAACTATTATTTTATTCTGAAGTATTCAAATATGAATGCTAGTGTCTTAAAAAGTCATTCTGAATCATTTGAGTGTGTGTCTAATAAAATAACAGCTATTTGCGCCCTCTGTTCTGTTCCGTGTGTACTTACTAGAATTGTCAAATTAATTCCCATCGTTGTTTACACGCGCAAAACCGATTATATTTGCTGAAAATGGCTAGAAAAAAGGAAATTTCACGTGAAAATATATTTATTTTGAGAAAAGTTGGTGAAACAATTCGTGAAATTTGAAATATTGTTGGTGTTTCGAAGTGTGGAATGGAAACCTCATTTCAGCGCTTTGCTGAAACCAACTCAAATTTTAATCGAAAACGCTCTGGCCGACCAAAAAAAACAACCCAAGCTGATGATAGACACATTTTTTATTGATGAGCAAAAAAAATCGGTTCAAAACAGCACCAGACATTCGTGCCGAAATCAACAAAACCCTGATCAACCCAATTTCGGTGGATACTGTCAAACGTCGTTTGCGAGAAAAGGGTTATTTTGGTCGCGTTGCTGTGAAGAAACCACTTCTACGACCATAAAACAAGCGGAAAAGAATATTTTTGCTCGAAAAGATAAAGACTAGCCAGTTGAATCAAATTCAAGTGAATAACCAAATGAAAATGGTATTTAACATTTGGGATTGGTATTTACCGATCCGTTCAAGCGAGTGTGGTTATCAGGTTGGTTATAAGAACCGTGACGTCATGAATCAGCTGTTATATGTCATAGTTATCATCGCAAAATTGTGGTATTTACCCAATTCAGGAGTAGTTTTATATTTCTGGTTATTATTTAAAATGTGACAAATTAGAATTTTGCCAGGTATGGATATTTTTGTTGTACTTCAGCTTCATTTTTGGGAAACTTGATACAGGCTGACTTCAGCTGTAGCATAAAGTAGAGCACCTTATCAGTTATAGTCATTACTGTTGTTGGGGACACTTTAAATCTAGCTCCAAAGTATCCTGGGTAGCCATATAGGTACCACAAGAATATTAAAATAGGGCCATATAAGCTCACTGGATAATATCCACCTGTATACGGTTTTGCTAATATCGTTTTTCATCGCTTTTTTCATCATTTCTGCTAAATCAATAAATGTTCTCTTTGGCATGCGGAAAAGCTTAGAGACTTGAAAGTTATCATAGCTACAAAGCCATGGTTGAATCATTAAACATTATTTTCGGAAAAAAAAACATTTCTCCCATTAATGCTATGAAAGGTTTCTTTTTAAACTTTCCTTACACTGTTGTAGACGAAAAAGCACCGATTATTAACTGATAATAAAAATAATCACAAATTATATACGCGCTTTTCTAACATAAACAACCTGCAACAAAACCGCGGTTAAAACCAACGCGTTCAAGCGATTCGAGAAACTGACGTCATCAAACCGTGTGTCATCAAAACCGTATTATAACCGCGGTACATAACACAGAAATTTTGGTTATTCGCTTGGATTTGATTTTGATCAGTGGAAGTCTGTGTTATGGATTCGAGATTTTTGGATCTAGGCGACGCCAGTTAGTCGAAATAAAGATGAGCGGTATAATCTCCAATGTATTGCTCCAACTGGTAAACATGGCGGAGGCTCCGTAATGGTCTGGGGGTGTTTCAGCTACGATGGTGTTGGAAATCTGGTCAAATTCGAAGGAATAATGCGGAAGGAACACTATCACAATATTCTTCAACGAAGTGCCATTCCATCTGGCATTGGTTTGATTTATCTTTCAACAAGACACCAAGCACACTTCCCATCTGTGTATGAACTATCTACGGTCCAAGGAAGAGGAAGGTGTGCTCAAAATCATGGATTGGCCGCCGCAATCCCCTGACGTCAATCCGATCGAATTATTATGGGATGAGCTCGACCGGCAGGTGAAGAACATGCACGTGACCAGTGAAAAACAGTTGTTCGGCAGTCTAAAGAGGCTTTAAAGAATATCGCAACTGAAACACTTCAAAAATTGGTCAAAAGGCTTCCAATAATATGTGCTGCAATCATCAAAGCATGATGAAAAAAACCTAATTTGACTTTTCATGATCTCTTCGTTATTTTTAAACATATTTATAAGAAATTTAGATGTAATAAACATAAGTAATGACAAAATAGTCTTTTTTTAGTTTATATACAGGATTCGATCACAAAATGACGTTTAAGACAAGAAAAACCAATCACAAACTCAAAAAATTGATTTTTTCGATGGTGTCCTTATGCCTTTGCACGGTGGTGTAGCTGCAGAATAGCTTCGCTAGTTGGCAGCAGTTTTCAATTGGCTGTCAGATTTGACAGTTTCTTATTGAAAAGATGCAAACTGTTAAGGCCACAGCACAAAATTAGAGCACTACTGGATGGTTTTAAGTTGCATTCCATTTGATATCCGATTTGATTTGATACTCTCTCCATTTGAGACATACTTATTGTATTTATTTTCCACAAACTCATTAAGTTACACTTCGCCTGGAGCATAGCACTATGTGGAGTATGCTTTATAGCTGAATTGCAGAATGTCATAATCACCAAGTAGACTGACAAGTAATGCAACCTAGAGCATAGTCATACATATCAAGTATACTTCAAAGGTTATCGAGTGATATTATAAGTGAGTTTTCACCTTTCTGTTTTTGGTCCTCTTTGTAGACAAAATCTAGTCTCGGAGTAATATGGGTGAATCTGGGCATCTGGGTGTTCAGTGTCAACTAAGAAAAATAAGTTATTTGTCACAAGACTATATGATATGTGTTCTGGATGGTCGAATGGTTAATGTCGCATGAGAGATGGCTAAACTCATAAAAAGCTTTCTTGTATCTAGCAATCGATATTTATCATTAAGGAAAATCTCGCGAAGCTAAGACCCTATGACAATGAATGATCCATTCCAGATTATTTCACCGTTCGAACAAAACGGCAAATCATAAATTAGAAGTATGAGTTGCTTGAAAATACATACTTTTTGCTTCGTTACCGTCCACTTTTTTCCAACACCTGTTTTCAAATCAAATAACAGAAGTGATAGCTGAGTGACAAACGATGACAAGAATCACAATAATTTCAGTCTCGCATGCGAGATTCGAGAACATCTCCGCCCAGGTGATGATATATAAACTTTGAAAAAGATACTTCAATGATGATATCAATCACTAGCTACATAAGTTTAATAGTTTTTTTTTATTAAAATTAAGTTAGTTAAAAATAAGTATTTAGTTCCCTCAGTCTTGAAACAAGAAAATTGTATAGATTGAGAGCTCATAGACCCTCAAGATAGTAGTAGAAATTAAAAAAGAAGAAGAATAGACAAAGCATTTGACATGAAAACTGCCAGAGAAGTGGTGCCAGGATAGTGACAAAAACGTACATGACCTTGAAAAAAAGTTACATTGATTGTATATGATTCATGACTTTTGTATTTAATAATCATTGTTTTGATATAGTTGCAGTAATATACCATTGAAATTCACAAACAAATACTTACCTGGGTGAAAACTGGAATCTCTGACAGAAGGGAATCGGCCGACACTACGTGAGCAACTGACGCGTTCCTGGTTTCAGTAGATCAAATAGTTTCAAACTACCATTTCTTGATTTGATACTCACTGATCGAGGTCAAATCGCGAAATAGTCACATTTACACGAAGATATGCAATTTTATATTTCGCCAGGTGAGGGTGGCACAATTTTCAGTAACCGCTAAAAACGTGTTTTTTATGCGCTTGTGCAAATTTTTAGTGTCTCATATGTTATATGTATTTAGCAATACAAAGGGTATTACGCTAGTGACATAAACAGAGATTTGTTGACATTTATAGTGAACGTCAGGACTGGAGCACGCCAGGGGAGTAAACATTTTGTTAATTTTTAAACACATTGTGTCTAAACCTTACCTTAATTTCATCGTATATTCCAAATAAAGCATGGCGTTTTACACTATCTGGATCGC